TGAGAACCTCGGAGCCAGTCTGGCTAAATTACCTCACCAGGGTCTTGTTACTCACCTGGGGCAGGCAACAGGAAAAGGCTGGAAAACTTGGTTTTACAGCAGAGCTACAAGTGCAGCTGCTTATTACCTGATTGGTTTTTTTTTTTTTTTTTTAGCTGGAATTTTTAAAATAAAGATATGTCCTTTTTTTAGCAAAATTAATACAGTCTGGTGCCTACCAATGTGGAAGTTTTTATTTGTATTTTCTAAACCTGTTAATGGATCCTTAGTTGCTGTATTTCAGCTCAAGTATTTAAACAAAATCTTTAGCACCTCTTCAGCTGAATTTTTTTTTTATATTCACTTCCAGAAATGCTAACATATTCCAGCATGAACAGAGTGTGGCCTCAGATGTCCTCATCAGAAGACATTAAAGGCTAAAGGTATGCAGTAATTTGGCTGTGCTAAGGGAACTTCCTCTGAAGCTGTTGCACAAATCCATTGAAGACAGAATGAAAAGAAATGAATGAAGAGGATAAGAGTGCTATTGACCAGATTTGGAGTAGGCTTCTTAGAACTATGCTTGCCACTAAGTTGCTGGGCTCAAGCAAGAATATCTAGTTAAAACAAGAGGTATGAAAGAGATGGAAACGCTGGAGCACTGGAGCAGTTCCAGAACAGGCAATGTCTTCACGATTACTTTATTCATCTTGAAAGAGGTGGCTTAGGATATTAATTTGGAACTAGAAGTAAGTGGGGGCTACAGATAGTTTTATGATTTCTGTGACTGATTATGCACTTGCCTCTTTCGTTGAGTGGAACTGTTTAATTTTGCATTCGCATGTCAATGTACATTCATGCAAAGACTGCAAATTACTGTTTTTACCCCATAAGAATGAAGAAATGAACGTGTGGTTCTTGTAGTTGGTTTTGATGTGAACTGAAACAAAAGCAAGCATTTAAAGGGGCAGGGGCAAAATGCAAAAAGCCAAGAGATTATAGAAAAATATTAGGAAATACACTAGTCCTGTGATTAGTGAGCTGACCTCAGACATGACATCTTTGGGTTTGACTCCCTGCTTTGCATCACATCTCCTGAAGAGCTTCCTAGCCACAAAATTCCTAGATATTCTGCAGTCTTTCTCTCTTTCTAGTTGGCCATTAAAAGTTTTAATCCTGGTTTCATCTTGATGCAAGTGAAAATAAGTACTGAGCCCTTTTTTTTCATTTAAAATAGATGACAATTTTTCCAACCAAGTCTGCTCCTTTGCATTCACTTCTGAACACATCAGGCTCTGGCTGGAGTGCCAGGTTTGGGATCTGGTTTTCCTGACTACAAAGAGTTTGTCATGTCAATGCTTAATCTGTCAGCATCCATTTATGGATTTAATTTTTCTTGAGAAAAATACAGCATGCTATAGACTCAGCAGTTCACTCTCTGTCTCTCAAGACAGACTTGGAACTTGCACAGTGGCTATTTCTTTAAGTACATTTTTTTTGTTTGAAGATAAAAACTACACTGAAATTCTTCTGCCATAGCAATGCCTACCTCTCCAACTTAAGACACTGCTGCAAAAATCAGGCAGTGCTGTAAAAATGCAGCAGGGTGCTTAAATGTTACCTCAGAAAGGAAAAAGCAAGTGGGTATGCATGGCTTTTTCTTTTTCTGTGCAACCTGTAGCTCTACTTTTCTTCCCTCCACTGGGGTCCTGCACTGGCATTCCGCTCCTTCAACTGGAATTTGAACCCTGTCTCCTGCTGCCTATTACATGATCAATATTCTTCTTCACAGATCACAACCTAGAAATCCAAACTTTGTTCTGGTTTGGGGTTTTTTTTTTTTGTTTTGCTGTGTTTTTTTCTGCAGGTATAAATCAGAGCAAATCGCTGGAGTGATGGGGTTTAAGCTGGAGAGTGCTATCAAGCAAACAGTGGCAGCACTGCTTAAAATTTGCTTTTCGTATTTTCTTATTCTTGTAATGTCATTGTCCAGGTCACTGGGTCTACAGGAAATTTAAGGCAGCCACTTTAACCTCTGAATCTTCAGTCTCTACTGAAGTCAGAATAATGGCACTTCAAAGGTATGTTTAAACATGTACTGTTATATATGTCCTTTGGAAAGTCTTGGGATTGATGAAATATTGCTGAACACTCATTTTTCTCCATAGGCTAATCTGTCAAAAGTCTGAGCAGGTTATTTAAAATTTCAACCACTTCTAACAGAATGGTCATTCCTGCACCACTGATAGAAACATCTGGATTTTATTCCGGAAGCATTTTACAATTCCGGCTGCTAAAACACTTTTTCTCGCCGGAAACTAGTCTGTGAAGGTTTAATTTTGTTCACCTGCAAAATTCCATTTGTATGACCTTTCCATTGAAATGCACATGCAGCAGCCCTCAAACTGAGAGGAGCTGACAGGAAAATAAATCACAGAGAGAAGGGAGTACATCACTGCCACACTGGCGGACACTTTGAGACCTGCTGAGAACTATTCTCTTTCAAAGCAAAAAATAGAAAACGCAGACAAAATCAAAGCCAAATGGGAAGATTTATACCTCAGAATAAATTAGGGGCATACAAATACGTGTTCTGAAGGAGTCCCCTACTCTTTTCCAGAAGAAACTCACACAGTAAGTATGTCATGCTCGTACTTGCAGTGATTTAAGACAGATGCTAAATTCAATGCATTAGCCCCACAAAGAGATTAAACTGGTGCCAAACAGGAAATATAAAGCACGTCTCGCATTTCACATGGGCAGGAGGATATTTATATGTGTATGTACTTGTAGATATAAAAATATATCTATTATGCATGATATATATACTGTTTGCTATATATTGTCTAATTTTGTACTGTCTATAATATGAATTATATAATACAGTATTGTATAGTGGACCTATAGAGTTTGAATGAAGTTGCAGAACTCTATTGTCTCCTTTGTGGACAGAGTTTTTTCTGCAGTGTCAAAAACCTTGCTGAAGTCCAGGTAGTCACCATTTCTCTCTATGGGAGTCTGTATATGTACGTTGATTTAACATTATTTATCTATTTAACATATGTGTAAATCTCATCTCCAGGGTGCACAGACGGATCTGCCCTCGCAGCGTGGCGTTATGTCCTCAGTCACGCTGAGGGGAACAAAACGGAAAGGACATTTTCCACTGAAACTGCCATCAGGATCTGGGCATCGCGCACTCCACAGGAATCACGTCCAGGTACGCTGGCGAGCAGCCGGGCAGCGGCCGGCCCCGGCAGGGACTCGCTGCTCGCCCGGCACCGGCGGCCCTCCCGCCCCTCACGGGCTCGGCCCCTCGGCCGCCTTCGCCGCCCCGCCCTTCCGGCGGCGCCGCGTCACTTCCGCCGGGCCGGGGAGGACGAGATGGCGGCGCTGGGCGAGCCGGTGCGGCTGGAGAGAGGTGAGCGCGGCCGCGGCCCGCACGGGCGCTCCTCCGCTCTCTGCTCCGCGGGGCGGCGGCAGCAGCGGCCGTGCCGTGCCGCGCTCCCGGCCTGCCGCAGGAGCCGAGCCGCTGCTCTCCGCCGGGCGCAGCCGCGGCTGATTCGAACGGCTGATCGGATTTGAGCAGGGTGCCGTCGGTTCTGGCTCTTGGAAGCGTTTCCGTGGGGCCGACCTCTTGGGCTTTGCTTTGTGCAGCCACCGGAGGCTTCTCTCCGTTTCGGTTTGCGGCTGAATTTCCATGGGGGCACTCGCCTGGGGCCTTCTGTAGCTGTGTCTGCTCTGCCTTCGCTGCTGGTAACGCTTCAGCCTGCTCTTACTCAGCTTGCTGTCTCTTGGTTTCTGCTTCTCTCTTGGGAAAGCTTCATCTTGAGCACAACAGAATTCTTAGAGTTCCGAGTTCAGTTGGTTAGTGTTAGGAGTAAGAGTTTACTTTTTTCACAGAGGACGGCTGATACACGCAGGGGTCCCGCTACACTTGTTCATTATTGTCTTCTGTTACTCTCTGATTCATGTTTTCTAGTATGTAGTCTTAATTTATTGTTAATACATGCGGTGTGTAACTGAAATTAAGAGCAAAACAGAAAGTATAGAACCTAGTTGAGTATTTTTGTGTAGCGTGTTTGTGAGATTTATCTCCAGTTTTTTAGAAGCAATTATAAATTTCCTTCAATGTGATGATCTGGTGCTGCGTAAGGCCCACAGATGCTTTTATTACAATATAGGTTATTGGTTTGTTGGTATGGATTTAGGACAGTAGGGACTGGAAAATGAATTTTACATGGGAAGTTATTATTGATAATTAGAAATCATGTTTTTGAAAACAGGAGAAGTAGAGGTGACTGATTGCTCTGACTTTTTCCCCTACCATTCCCACTAGCACCGCCACTTTTGCTCTTGGTGCTAGATGTATTTTTGTGGATGTATAACACCCTGTCCATACCCACTTTATTTTTCTGGTACTATTGTGTTACCTCCTGAAGAGCTCCGTTTTTCTTTTTTTTTTTTTTTTGCTAGCCCTGCTTCCCATTCCACCCGGGAACCCCTTGTAGTGTGTGAGTTGGCCTGTAAATAGTGAGTTATGTAAGGCCTCTGCTTCACGCAGCTCATCCACTCTCTGCTCCAAAGCTTGTTAATTAGGGCAGCTGCTTCAGCAGTGGATTAGTTGTGCTTGGGAGGTTGCAGATTTAAGGCTCAGGTCCCATCCTTCACCTCATTACCCTGCCACTGTGCTCTGTCCCTGAAAACAAACAAATCTGCAGAGTTCTTTCGGGATCAGTGAAACAAAGGAGCTCTTTGGTCTTTTTAGGGAAAGGAGAAAAAGAGAGCCCCTTATAATGGACCCACAAAAGCAGGAGCCTTATCTACCGAAATAAGTAACTGTTAATTGTGCGGGGATCACTGCACTTAACCTGATGATGAGTCATAATTAGCTTGGAAGTCGCTAATGGCGTTGGCATGTAGCATAAGAAAAGAGAGAATCCTGTAGAAATGAGCTGATTTTAAGTCGTTACTCTTACCGCCAGGGCGACTAGAAGTTCTTGTGTCTGTTCTCCTCCGAGCTGGGTTGCAAACACCATCGCCCACAGTCACCAGAGGGCAGGAATGAAACCACAGTTAACGTTTCAGTTCTCGTTACGGTTGAGTCGTGGTGTGCTAACTCCGCTCACAGCTCAGCGTCTGGAATGCTTGTGCATATGCAGTGCAGGTTGGTTAATCAGGAGTATCCCTGAGGATGCTGTGTTTTGGTCACGCATGCCGTCCTGCTGGCTTTTGCCCCCCTAAATTCACTTAGTTTAAATGTTTCTTTTTTTTGGGATTTCAGTCTAGTATTCCAAAATATGATTCGTGAAGAGCAGGCAGTTTGGTATAAAAAGGAAGAAAAGGTGAAAAGAAAAGCAAGTTTTCCATTATGTATGGGTTCTTTTTTACAGTTAGTTTTATGGTTTGGGGTTTTTTAATTGTCCATCTCTGGAGTTACATCTGCATTGATCCTTGTTGAAATCCATTGTTGGATCACTTGTGTACTATTCATTTTGGTCGCTGGTGCTGAACCGTTGGCTAAGCTATGGTGTTCATATTGTGAGGAAGACAGCTTTCAGCTGATCATATTCCAGCTAGTCATTCAGGAGGAAGCAAATGACCTCAACACAGTAGTCTACAAGCTTTTCTTGAAAATGAGAGAAGGTGTGTTTTGCCCCTTATTCCCAGCAAAATTCTTTTTCCTAAGGCAGTATTGATGGGAGATGGAATGCTCAGCTTTTGACCTGTGGTGTCCAGTGCAGTAGAAGAAAGTTGCACTTCCACGCTGGTGTAATGGGATCCTTTCAATAACACACAGCAAAACAGCTGCTGGGAACTGTGTCCTGCTGATGGGATGTGTTGTCTCTATCTACCTGAGTAAGAACTCCAGTGTGGTAGATGATTTATTGAGTACTGAGGCTCTAACTTCCATTCTGTGTCTGATTGCTCTGAGTTTTTACTTTATAGCAATAGTTTGGTCCTTCAAACTGAAAACACTTTTTTATTCAAGTGTGTCCTCTGCATTAGTTTAATCTAAAATGAATCCACTTCAGTGTGTCCTAATCACTTTTGGAAAAGCTGATTGTGTGTTCTTAGTCTGTAGTTAATGAAAGACACTGGTTCCCAAACAAACCAATTTTACCGTAGGGTAAAAAGTGCTGTGCCATTAAATGTTTTGTCCATTAAGAGATGCAGGTAGGAAGCATGTCTGATTTAATGACAAAACATGAGGGTAAAAAAAGAGAAATTATCTCTTGGAATTCTGGTCTTCATTGCTACAGCTACTCCTTGTATCAGTACATGGTCACCATTTAAAGTTTCTTGCAGAATCCTAATCAAACTGATAGCAGGTTTGTACTCCTTACATCTTAACGTGGTTCACAGACCATAGGCTCAAGAATGGCTACATGGAGCTGTGGTCTTTATGTGCATGTAACCATCATTTGTCTGAAAACATCTGCAAGTATTGAAATGGTAGTGGTGTTGTAGTTGGTAGATTTGCCAGCCATTTGTCATTAATACGTGGAGTGTTGTCAGGCTGGAAGTGCTGCCACTGCCATTTGATCATAGCTCTTCTTGATGAATGAAGTGCTGCGTTAATCAGTACTGCTGTTGCTGAACACAGGGGTTACTAAGAACATTGGTGATTTTGCATCATCTAGAATGGCTTTAATTTCACCAGCTGTGTTGGATTTTGAATGAAATACAAAATATATCTTGGGAAATAAGCTTTAAATGTGGGAGGCTTTTTCATTTTGCAGTTATACAAATAGTAGCTGTGAAAAATGTGTTCTCTGTAGAACATGGGATTATTAGTCGATAATTTAGGTTTTGATACTGTGTTGCTCTAGGTAGCTGATGCTTGTAAATCTTGGCAATGCTTGCCAGAAAGCTCCAAGTTCTCATGGCACATGGAAACATTAACTACCATCAGAAATAATTTGAGTCTTGGGGCTGTGGTACTTGAGTGTTTTCCCATGAAGGATTTGTTTGCAGTGCGTGGATGGCCAGTCTGTGTGGTTCAGGTATGCCTTGTTCAGTCAACTGCATGACCTGGTCCCGATCTAGAGGTTTGTGGGGTGTGTCTGATAATTGCTGTGAGGGGACAGAGCACTGCTGTGGGCTGTGTCCTGCCAGTGCAGTTCACCCTGACTTCAGAACATGCACCCTGCTGCCTTCTCATCCTGTTGTGGAACTGCTCTCTTTTTACACTTGTGTTCTAGAGGTTTGTGCCTTTTGCATGTCCTCTGTGCTGCCATGATGCCACTGAGCAGATGTGCATGCTCATGAAAAATGAGTACCTAGAGGTTAATTACAGAAAAAAGGAAGTAATGTCTTTGGGACTAGCAGTGTTCCAGACTTCATCCTGTTCTAAAATGATCTGTGCATAATTTTATATAGTAGCTTAATCACTGCTTTTTTAGTCTTCCTGATAATGAAAGTAATCCTTTCTATCTGCTTCTCTAAGAGGGTGTTCTAGTTCTGTTCAAGGACTTCTGTGTTTCAGAATAATCACTAATGTAACAGTTTGGAAGTGCAAGTGAGGGATGTGAATGTATTCTGCTCTTCTGGTGCTGCCAAGAGAATGTCACATTGCATTCAGTGCCTCGCTTGAGTCATTCTGGTCTGGAGTCAAATCCTTCATGGAGTTTGTTACACAGAGCAGCATTTATGAGAAAATGGACAATGTGAACTCTTGGGAACAAATTTCAAGGAACTGAAAGAGGTTTGGGGTTCAGGATTCTAGACTATGGAGATGTCTCTCAGCTGAGAATATCAAAAGGAATTCTGCTGGTTTTATAAGCATTTGAGGAGGGAAAATCAATAGGCCAGATCATTTTCAGCCCTCTTCTATGGGCAGTATTGAGAATACCTTACTGAACTAATTTTTGAATATAAAAGGCATGTTAGACAACATACTTGATAATATTATAGCTGGTGTTAGCAAAATGCCATGAAGCGTACACTACCAATACTTCAATACTCATACCAATATTTCAGTCCTTTGAGGAAAAATTGGATAGTTTTTGCAATATGCAATATCTGTGATAGCTGCAGATATGTTACAAGGTTGTTGTTGTGGCTGATTTATAACAAGCTGGAAGTGGTGCTTTATTGTAGCATTTTGTAAATACATAGTTTTATGGGTAGCAAAACCTAAAGTGTAGTTTTAAAGTGTATGCAAGTGCACACACACAAACTGCTCCATTAACTTAATTAAAAAAAAAAAAAACAAAACAAAGGTACCTTCAGATTCCTCAGGCATTCCTCATTACTAGTGCTTTATTTTTTTCATAGACATCTGCAGAGCAATTGAATTGCTGGAAAAATTACAGAGAAGTGGAGAAGTGCCACCACAAAAGCTACAGGCATTGCAAAGGGTTCTGCAGAGTGAATTCTGTAATGCTGTAAGAGAGGTAAGTGAACTTGATGTAAGCAGTTACCTTCAGGTAAAGACCAGTGTGATTTACTTTTTTCTTTTTGTACTCAGTGCATTCAGCTGATTTTGAACTTCATAAAGCAGCATTTAATTTACAGAGCTTAACAAAACAAACCTTATTTTTAGGTAATTTCAAAATAAAATAATTTGGGACACCTTAGGTGTATAAAATAACGGCTTGGTGACAAATCACTTCTTAAAGGTTATTTTGAGAGTCGGTCCTTACTGGCAGCTAACAGGATGTCATCCACTTGGTATGTAAGAATAGACAAAGTACCAATTGCCCATGTAAGACAAAGTACCAAATGGTTTTTTTTGAGCCACATCCACACCATGTTTAGGTGGAGTCTTGTGCTGCATCATCTTCATCCCAGGTATTGTTTTGGAGACTTCTAGGTGATTGGATGTGCCTTGCTATTGCTGTTGCTTATGTTAATACTGATGATAACAGCTGGGTAGATTTTTAAAAAACCTGTTTGTAGACACATGTGTCCTCTTGATGTTTTCATGCCATTGAGGACACTGTACTTGTTGCTTAGCAAGTACAAATGGTTGGCAGGGAGAGGAGATGTGGGTTAGCCTGCAGTGCAAGCCCCTCCTTAGCATTAGTATTCTTATGGTCTCTGTGTTTTCAATCCTTTTGAAAGGATGAAGATAGTTAGTTGCTGAAGTTGAAGTAAAATCTGGGAGCTTTTGGGGAGGGATGGGTGGTCAGCAAAGCCTTGAAGAGCTGCCCTGAAGTGCTTCTGTGTGCATCCATGTTGAACAGTTCCAGCTGGAGTCAAGCAGGAGAAAATAGCTGGAGTGAGGCATGGCAGCCCAGCCATAAGCATTCCCAAAGTCCTGGTGAGGTCTGAGCACTGTGCAAGGAGGGGAGCCTTAGGCTGAGACTGAGCAGCAAAAATACTGAGAGGGTTGTTCCTTCCTGGAGTGTTAGATGGCCTGTTGGTGTTGTGAGTCAGGGAGTAACATTAGAGGTGTGTGCTTTTAATGTAGGCACTTTTGAGTTGCACCTGATATTTTGTTACATTACCTAAGCAGGGAAATATCAGTTTTACTCATATTGAAACTGTTTTGTCTCTAAAGGTGTATGAACATGTGTATGAAACTGTGGATATCAGCAGTAGCCCCGAAGTCAGAGCTAATGCAACAGCCAAGGTAAAAGCCAAACCACAACTTGCAAAAAATAAACTAGTTCATTACTTCAGAAGCAGAAGATATATAAAGTTCAGAAGGCTATTATCTAGATGTCTGATAAAATGGATAAGCTTAACAGGATATTAAAAGGTGTAACAAGACTCGTGGCTTTTAAGTTTCTTTCACTTCAGTTTTATTCTTAGAGTTATGAATTTTTCATGCTGGTGTTGGTATGTAGGGAATTGTCTCATTTGTCTTAGCCTGTAAGTACTTTGAGATGAAATACGTTTTCAGCCTGCTCACTGTGTCTAGCTAACAGGACTGTATTTAATTTCCTATAAATGAGAAAATCTTGTTTCTCACAGGCCACGGTAGCTGCGTTTGCTGCTAGTGAAGGTCATTCTCATCCCAGAGTGGTTGAACTACCCAAAACAGAAGAAGGTCTTGGCTTCAACATTATGGGAGGCAAAGAACAAAATTCTCCAATTTATATCTCTCGAATTATCCCTGGAGGTATAGCTGACAGACATGGAGGCCTGAAACGTGGAGACCAGCTGCTTTCTGTAAACGGAGTGGTACGAGCTGCTTTTCTCTTCTTACGTAGCAGTGGCTGCTTGTTTCCACTTGAGGGGGCACAGAGAACACAGGGCACAAGCTCCTTGTGTCTTCTGATCTTGGCAAAACACTTTGTTTTTGTCCTCCCAAATTTTGGCTTAGGTTTCTGTAGAGTTGTGTGCATTGAGAGTTTTAGGATTGTCTTGGTTATCTGTCTCAAAAAGGAAATGTGCTACCTATATCAGTATTTCAGATTCTGAGGGGTTATATAAATGTAGTCAGAGAATTTTGTAAAATACAAACTGCCTTCCTTTGTCATTGAAGTTTCATGATGCAGATTTTTACTAACAGAGTTTTTTGCACCTTCTGAGGTAGGTAGGAAATTATGCTGTGTTACTTTTGGCTGACCAGATTCTCATTTTTCCCATAGTAAAAATGCTACTGCATGATGAAAGTTGTAATGAGATGGAACTACAAGGTGGTGTTACCTTGTATGGTATTTTTTCCTTCCACTTAACTATACTGAGCTTCAGAAGCAAGCTTTTTACTGTATTTTAAGAATTATGTGTCTGAAGTGCTGATGTGAATTTTTTTTTAGTAAGTATCCTCTTCTGAAGAATTAACAATATAAAAAGTAAAACAAAGGGAGGCTGGAAAGGAAAGGTTATGGGCAGGGTTTGACTTGAGACAGCTTTGAGTCAAATGCATGTAAATATCTCCCAAACACTTGCTTTTATTTACAGAGAGGCTCTATGCAGGCTTAAAATTAATATGCTTATTACATCTGTAAACCAAATTTTATTTTGAGACTGAGGGTCAAATTAGATTCTGGGGGGGTTTTGACTCTTGAAAGGAATAGTGGCTGGGTACAGATCCGGGGTGTCTGTACTCGAGGACTCCTGGCTGGCACAAATCTCTGACTATTACCTGGGAGTGCAGCTGTCCTTTACAAGAGGCACAAGGGAAATCAGCTGTAGTGATGCAACTGTGCCTGCCTTTGCCTTCTGCTATCGGGGAGCATTGAGGAACTGGTGCCAAACTGTCCTCAGATGGGTCCTTCCTCACCCACAGACTTACAGACAGCAAAAGCACCACTCCACCCAAAACTGACCCTGATCATCAGGCAGCTGGTACAGCTAACAGTGGCTCTGTGTGCATGCACATGTATAAATACATATAGCCCTTGCGAGAATACAGTGAGTGCAGAAATTGCTGTTAAGAATGCTAATGTAGTCAGAAAAATCTTTGTCATCTGATATTTACAGATGGAATCCTGTCACCATAATATGTGACAGGCATTTTCTTGTGATTGTAATTTATACTCCAAAAAGAATAAAAGAAAATGCCACTGCCAAGACTGCAGGGAATATGACTGAGAAACAAGTTTATTTTTTTCAGGTGGGAGATCTTAAGCATACTCCAGAATTTAGGTGTTTTCATAGAATTAAACAGAGCTTTACAAACCTTTTATTACCTTTTATTAAACAGAACAGCCTACACATCCACTTGAATAACAAAAATGAAGACATTCAAATGTATGTGGTTGTCTAAGTCTGATAGAAGAGAAATAACTTGGGGTTTTTTTAACTGTTGTTTTTCTTTCTGTAAGTAACTTTATAGTAACGGGGAAACCCTCCAATCAACAGGTACATCACCTGCCTTCTAGCTTCTAATAGCACCAGTGGGAGGTAGGCTTGGAGTAGTCCTGTCATTGTGTTTCCTAAGTTTGGGAGAAAGAAGTGTTGCTGATAAAATATGTGCTGTGCAGGAATGTGTTGGATGCCATTTTTGAGAACCGTTGCTTAAAAATTGTAATGAGATGAATCTAATGTAATTCGAAGAAATTCTGAGAGTTGGTATAGGAAAGCATTTTTATTGTGGTCTTCCTGAGCTGGGTTAGGCTGTTGATAATGAGTTTAGAGGAAATGAACTGGAATGGTGTGGGTTTACTGAGAGACACGTGGGGAAGCACTTAGGTAAGCAGCACACTGCATGTTAGCTGCTCCATTGCAAGCAGCCAGCATGCACTGCTCTGCCTTGTTGTGAGGCAAGGTAACAGCAAGAAGGCAGCTATCCTGCAGTTGGCTGTGCCAATTTATTGAGCAAATTGAGGGTGACTGCTAAATTTAAAATGCATGCAAAAGAAGAAAAATAATAGTAAATTTTAAGTAAGTATTCTCCTGAAGCTTTTGATTTTTGAGTGTAATTTCATAATTGACTACGGTTATCATTGCAGAATTTAGTTGTTTAGCATAAATCTAAAGATTTTTGCATTATTCTTTTGCTAATGCTAATTAGCATTTTTATCATCACCTCACGTGGTTTGTTTAAACATAAGTCCTGAAATTGCATTACATTGTTCTTATGCAGTCCTGAAAATAGGGTACATGTATATAAATATAGAAATATAATTGCTTATACTTACATAGAATTGTACAAAGAATGTAAAAATGAATTTTGAGTTTGGCTTCACTAACACTGACTGGTTTGTACTTCACAGAGTGTGGAAGGAGAGCACCATGAGAAAGCAGTGGAACTGCTGAAGGCAGCTCAAGGGAAGGTTAAATTAGTTGTGCGATACACACCAAAAGTCCTGGAAGAAATGGAGTCCAGGTTTGAAAAGATGAGATCAGCAAAACGAAGGCAGCAAAATTAACACTGTGTGCAATAACTTAAAGAGAAAATATATATTCCTTTTGCATTTTGTAGTTTCTTTGTGACTCAGTTGATCCAATGCCTGTCATGAGACCTTGTCCTTTTTGTAGAGTTGTGGAACAGTTGAGGTTGGAGGGACTGGATCTAGTCCATGCCCCATTGCCCAGCTGAGAGGAGGGCCAGCTGGAGCAGGTTGCTCAGGAGTGAGACAAGCTGGGTTTTTAAACATCTCTAAAGGATGGTGTCTCCAGAAGATGTCTGGGCAGTATGTTCCGGTGTTTTGCTCTCCCTTACACTACAAAGATCCATTCCTGTGTTTAAGTAGAGCTTTGTTATTTCCACTTGTGCTCCCTTCCTCTTGTCCATCACTAGATTTACTGGGAAGAGTTAGGCTCTTCACTCCTCCCTCTCAGGCATTGACACAGGCTGGTGAGGTGACCTGAGCTTTCTCTTCTCCAGGTGAGAGAGACAATCCCAGCTCTCCTAAATTCTCCTTGTCTGTAAGATACTCCAGTCACTTAACCACCTCTGTGGCCCTTAACTGGAGTCACTCTTGTGTGCCCATTTCTGTGTTGGACTGGGGAGCCCAGAACCGGACCCAGCACTCGAGCTGTGTCTCAGGAGGGCTGAGCAGAGTGAAGAGTCCCCTCCCTCAGCTTGCTGGCAGTGCTCCTTCAGTGCACTCCAGGGGACTCTTGGTTTCTTTGCTGCAGGGGCCTGTGGTGGCTCATGGCTTGCTGCTGTTCTCTGCAAAGCTGCTCTGCAGCTGCTCAGTCCCCACTCTGCTAGTGGACAGGGCTATTCCCCCGTGCAGGACTTTGCACTTTTCTTTGTTGACCTTTGTGACTCTTGCTTGCCCATTTCTCCAGCCTGCTGAGTCCCTTTGAATGGTTTGCTGAGCGTGATGTGTGCCAGCCCCTGGGTTGATACTAAAAACGTGCAGGAGTGTGGCCCCAGCAGGGCCCTGGCTGCACTGGTGGTGACTGGCACCCAGCAGGACGCTTGGCCACTGATCACAGCAATGCCCAGCAGCTCAGCCAGCTCCAGAATGTCTGCAGTCTCCTTGTGCTCCACGGTTCAGGAGGAATGTGTGGGTTTAGAATGGCCTAAAATGCCCTGGGAAAGCATATATGGTGATGTTTCTCTTGGCTTTTTTTGTAAGTCTTGTGTCAGACTTTTAAGCAAGGTGAATTTACAGATTTTTCAAAGGCATTTAATAAGACATAGTTGTACAATCAGCATCCTTTTTTTCCTGCTTTCTTTTGACATTACTTAGTTTACAATCTGCTGGGGGTTTTGCTAACTGATTTTTTTAAAGAAAGAAGATTCTTATGTAGCAGTATTTTGGCACTTTTCTTAAGAATATGTTGTATGTCAACTACAAAATGTAATCACAATCTACTATGTAGCTGATAACACCAGATTTTGTAATGTTTTTGGTAAGTACATTGTTTTTACACTTCTGCTAAATTATAATTCACTACTCTGGAAATTGTATTACCTCTCCTGTAAATAATTTACAGTTGGTGTTCTTATATAGTGATGTTGTAATAGCCAATATTTACAAATTTGCAACAATCATTCCTGTAATTTACATTATTTTGTACCAATTTTAAAGCAGTTACGGGGAAAAACATGATTGCTGTTTGCAGTTCTGGATTGACTCTCTAGATGTATTTTTATATTGAGAAACAGAAGATATTTAAATGCAGTGCAAAAAGAATTCCAAATGTTCCCCTGACTTTCTGCTGTGTAAAAGAATTATTCATCTCTAATTGTCATGCCATTCTTGTCTTTCTAGTATCTTTTATTGTAGTCTTATTTCCATGTTGAATGTATTGGTTCTGGAATTGTTAGTCCCTAAATTACTGATTGTTAGAGTCTTGTATGCCAGGTTCCTGTGACATGTGAACTTGTCTGGGGTTTTCACTGCTTCTGACTGGGGGTTCTTGTTTGTACTGCAGAAGTACAACTTCACAACTGCTAAACAAGGGCATCTCCGTCTGTGGACAAGTACTGTCTTAGCTCATGGATTCTTGATGGTAGCATGGGTTTTGTGTACCATTTGGAAAATTTCTGGACAGAGATCCACTTTTTGGAATCTACCAGGTTTGATGCTGTACTTGTGTAGTTTAGGTTCTGGGTTTGGGTTTTAAGCTACACCTTTAGAAGAATTAACTTCATTATCTACTGGGTATCAGTTCACTTGTATGGCAGCTATGAGTACATCCTAATTGACTGTTAGTAATTTGATTTTTAGAGGCTTAAACTGACAAGTGCAGTTCTTGCTATGTGGTTAATCCCTAGTCTTATTTCACGTGAAGCAATATGTGAAAGAAAGGAAAAGGTTAGTAATCTAAAAATGACAGCTTGAAGCTTGTGCTTTGTCGGTTGATCTATTTGGAAAAAAAAAAAAAAGGGGTTGCTATAGGCAAGTGAGAAATGTGATTGCTTTCTGCATGTTTGTAAGCATGGTAAGCCTGCAAAGAGACGTTTGGGAGATACTGGTAATTTGAAAATGCAGTATAAATATTTATCAGTTAGGTGACATTGAGCACTGAATTGCATGGTTGGTTTCATGTCATAGGCCTCTTGCAGAAGGCCTCATGTTGCTGATACCACCATGTTGAATTGTATATTTTTATGGAACAACTAATGTTTAAAGTATTGAGACCAAAATCACTAGTTAGACCAATTGTGGATGTGTTTTAATTTAATTGTTAATTAGTAGAGATATGTTTTAGAGCCATATATAAATATATATATTACAGAAAGATATGGATACAAGATAGGAATGTTCATTTTACAAACTGTATCCCTTGTATTACTGAACAAGGTGTGTTTTGTTACTCTAATGGAATATTTACTTCACTGCAGCTAGAGCTGCTAAATGCAGTAGCATTTTCATTCGGAATTGTAGCATTTGCTTCTGCTTTGGCAGAATGTGGAGAGGTGTACCTGGGCATATAAATAGCACGTGTAGAGTTTGATAAAATGTTTTTAAATTGCAGTAACAAAAAAATCAATAACAGCCAAGTAATTGATAATCATCTTTGATGCTAGAAGAACCCTTTATTAATAAGGGGAGGATCAATTAAAATACTCCAAGAAACTGCATCTCTGTTACTACTGAGCAGTGCCTGTACTGTGTTAATCTGCAGTCCCTACACACTCCTCATACATGGATATGCCAACATATTAAGAAGAGCTGTCATTTCTGCAATGACTTCTGCATCTGTTGCTGCTGTGAAGGATCTTTGGGTTTCATCAGCAGAAAAATAAAAATTCAGTCTGACACCATCGTGTTTGTGTGTTTTTCTTCTGCCTTTCCATTTTGAGTCCAGGTTCCAGACTGCTTTAATTGGCTGTTTATAGTCTCTAGGGCATAACATAAACACCTGGGTGTGTGTGTGGGCATCCAAAGAGAAAAACTTTAAATCGCTGCTTAGTTTGTCTCCAGATGGCTTTTGAATTGTCCCTTTTCTAACCAGTGTTTGGTGATTTGCTGGGGAAAAACATCTATAATAGTTAGAACCTTTTGCATTTTTGAGAAGTCAGCTGCATAAACTCTTAAGATGCACATTATTCTGAGTCAGTACCTTTTAGATGTTTGAATCAAGTATCTCATTCTAAGTCAGATGTTTGAATTGTTTGAATCAAGTATCTTAGGTAATGAGATGCTGCATTTCTGCAAGTTCTTCGAAGGACAGCTTGTCAGTATAGTGTTTCTGGAGTTATGAACTGAGATTAACAAAGAGAAAATGCTTTGAATGTAAAACAAGTTGGGGTTTTGTTGATTTTTTTTTTTTTTTCAAATTTAAGTAGGGGACTATGAATTGAAAGTACATGGAGAAATGTTACGTAAACACTTGATGTAGAGGATAGGAAATAACACATGCTGAGTTTTATTTAAAATCCGAATAGTTACCATGCCCTGCCTTACGACAGTGAACAAAGTCAAAAAGCAAAAGTTGGAATTGAATTGGTACAAGAAAAGGGTGGTAGGTAAACACTGGAATTCCAGGGAAATGGTGGATAAGGTGCAGTTTGAGTAATTCTTTGTCTCCTAAAATCCTGGTGAGAAGCTGGTTTCAGAGGTAAGTCTGGGCTGCAGTGTTCACTTTTACAGAGGAATAGTCCAAAGTCTGGAGAGTTGTGTGGGCACTGCGTTGGTGGTGATTGGGAGTGGGGCTGATCCCTAATTGATCCCTAATTGGCTCCAGCTGTGCAGCACAGGTGAATGCTATTGAAGGTGAGGAGCCATGGAGTGCCCAGGGGTGCTGCCCAATCCCACAGGGAGTAGAGAGCACACAGGTGCACTGCATCAACAGCAGGGCACAAAAGGGCTGAAGGACAGGAGGAGCAGATGCTTGCAGCCTCCTGAAGAGGTGAGGTGTGACTGTGTGAGGGTTGGAGCTTTGTGAAATGGTGTGTTGGTGATGTGTGCTGTGACTGTCTGAGGTTCAGAAGTGGGCCTCAGGATAAAGGTGATTGCTAGTTCTAATAATTTAAAAAACCCTATAGAACTTCCCTTCAAATTTAAGTTAGAAATAATTTGAAGCTTGTTTCCTGTTGCTTTAGAGACAAGTCAGGTTTCAAGTGACAAAATCATGAAAAGTAAAACAAGCTCTGTATTCCTCACCTTTGTTAGCTTTACTTGTGCAGTTGTTTGGGGTATTTGGGGGCAGGGGTGAGTAAATTGGGCATTTTATTGGTAACCAAAGGTTTAAAATAAGTCTGCACAGACACAAGCTAACAATTTCCCACTCCTCAAAAAAAAATCCCTCCCCTGTGCAGCTGTGCAGGTGCCTCTGCCCTCGGAGAGAGCCCCTCAGGTAAGAGAAGTGCCACCAGGTGCACTTGTGGCAGGCGTCCCTGCCTGTAGCAGGGGCTGGAACTGGGGGAGCTGGAAGGTTCCTTCCAAACCATTCATTTCCAGGCTGCCCACTGCTGCTCTGTGTTGGCAGGGGGTAGGAAGCAGGGGAAGGTGCCTGAGAAACAGGAATTTGATGCTTTCTGCCTTCCTTCTGCTTTCATACAGTAAGACTGAGATGTTTTGTGCTGTCGCTTACAGTGGAGTGCCTCTAAAAGTTGCAAAATACAACTTAAAGCCTCTTATTACAAAAACTTTCTGGCTAGAATACAGACTGACATGAATATTGGACTAAACCCTGAATTTAATTTCCAGCAATTTTGTCCTAAATTGCTGTTTAATTCCTGTATAGCTACCTAATTTCAGCTGATGACTGGGTTAGCGACAAGATAAAATTTGTTATGATGCTATTGTGGTGTCCCTCTTTTTTTCAAGGGGAACACATAATACTGGAGAAACTCTAGAGTTAACTCTAGACAGCAGAAGACCTGACACATCTAGGCTGAAAAAACTCCACCAACAAAAAAAGAACAAAATAATAAAAATAACAACCCTACACACACACTTTTTGAGCTGTCCTCTCTTTTGGCTTTGCTCTATCCAACTTACAGAAGGTTGGATTAAGCTGCCTGCAGTCATTCTCTTTTACCTGTGGTACAACATCTCATTTCTACTGGCAGCCCAGCTCGCTGCATTTCAGAGGCATCTTTTGGAATAATGGAGCAAGGATACAATCATCAGGCCAAACTGCAAAATACTTGCTCTGGATCATCTAGGTAATGCGTGCACAGGGACAGGTGGGAGAGACACTGTGCCATTGGAAGTTAAGCATTGTCTACATAGAAATGTAATATTTAATCATAAGCAATTCTAAAATTAATTTTCTCTCAGGTTTCTATTTAACTTGTGTATTTTTTCCTTCACTTTACATGTGCTGTTTCTAAACTGTGGATTTTAGTGGTCTTGCTTGTCCTCATTGGTTTTTCTTGTTTTACAGAGGCATAAAGTAGATACTGGGAATCAAATTTTCTGGGTAAATTTTTGACTCTGCCAAAATAACTTTTCTTCCCAATAATTTTTCTGAAGCTTTAAATTGTTTCTGTATTTGTGCTATACCAAGGTTTGGATCTTTACCTTCATTTTCTTAACAAAGCTTTGAACTTGGCTGAGCCTTTCTTTTGTCACTTGTTTCCTGAAGTGACTTTTAATTCTGCTTCACCTGAGTAAAAGCCTCAGCGTTTTTTGTAGGAAGAAGTGTACTTCCATTACAAAGAGAGCTTGCTGTGTCAGTGCAGATATTCCAGACTGTTCTTTCTCCACACACAGCAGCTCTGTGTCACGTTCTCCAGCATAACTTTAATTTCCTGGTGTCGTGGTTTAACCCAGCCAAACCCAGCACACCGTGTAGGCAGAATCCCAGTGGTAATTGAATTTCCCAGCAGTGTGGACTCAATAACAGCACCGGCAGCTTTTGCATGTGATGCCTCTTTCACAGTTTGGGTGAATCCTTCAGGTCCATTTCCAGCCCACTGGAGCGCAAAGCTTATTTTTATCACTAGACAGAGATGAAATTTAAAGCTGCTCTGGACTGCATACATTTCCGTGTTTACATCTGCATACTAAACTGTGTCTGGGCAATCCTTAGGGAGGGGAGCAGCCCTTGGGGCACATCCTGCCACATCAGCATTTCTGATGGAGGATAATTGGGATGTGTGAAACCAGGGGTGAAACGGCTCTCCTTGCAGGACTAACACACTGACTGCGTTTTTATCCCAATTTAGAAATTAAAACCTCCATGCAAATCCCTGTTTTTTTTCCTGTAAAGTCTAAGAGATTCTTACAAAGTCTTTATCGCGACTATGATCTTCACATTCCTGTTCCCCTGCCATCCTCTCATGGCACAGCTGTGGCACCAGGAGTTCTGGTGCTCTGCCTTCACTTTGTATTTATTTTTTGTGTCCGTGTTTCAGGTTTTAATCTGCATGTTCTTCCACGTCAGGCTCCCATTACATCCAGATGAATTCGTGTCTCTGAAGAGGGGTTTTAGTCAGAAGCAGGCACATTGCTGGACATTTTTGTAGCAATAGAAGAAAAAAAATCCCACGTCCATACTTTTGTGTTTTCCCCCTATGTCTCTCAAGCTTTCCTGAAGCCTTTGCACCAAATGTCTGACAGAAGTTTCAAAACCTTGTGCCTGCTTAGGCACCAAATCCTGGAGATACCACACAGTAATAGATCAGTTTATGGTGCTTCCCCTTTTCCCTGAGGAAGAACAGAGGATAGTTTCTCCATAGCTCAACCAAAATGAGCTAGTTTTATCTATTTTTTTTAATTGACTTGATAGTTTGACCCTCATCTTCTTCACGTGGTTTTAAGTACACCTCAGGATTTTTAAGGGCTGAAGGACAGGAGGAGCAGATGCTTGCATTGTTTTTTTTTTTGTTTGTTTTTTCTTTTTTTTTTTTTTTTTTTTTTTTTCTTTTTTTTTTTCATTAAATAAGCTAATTGCTGCCTTATGCTGTGTTTGGGGGATGCTTCTTGGCATTTGTGACTAGGTTTCAGACTAGGTTTTTAAACCTATTTTTATTTCAAATTTTCAAGTAGGTCATTTAGTAAAATATGGCCATTTTTTTTCAACTTAAAAACATCTTAGCATGTAGATCTTTCTTACAAAAATAAGCCAGCTTCACAGAAAATGCTAGGGTTTTATTTATAAAGGAAAATAAAATCAAGAAATGCCTGCAAGCAGGTGTCTGCCTAAGCAGAAAATGAGAGAAATGGGAGTTGTTGATGGAGAGGAGAGAGCAGTGATCCATCAGTACCAGCAAGGGAGAGGCAGAGGCTGGAAACTAAGGGAAGTATTAATTTGCCAGGACAAGTTCCAGACTAACTGGAAGCAGCAAAACAGTGTTGAGTGGATAAGAAGGGGAAGTGGATTGCTCCTAGGACAGGAGTTTCAAATGTGGAGACTTCAGAGAGCTGCACTAAGGAAAGAAATCAGAAGTGGTGCTGGTAAAAGAAACAGAAAGATTGAAATCAGGCAAGGATTGAGAAGAAAAGCTAGACTATTCCACTGCTTCAAAGCATGCAGAAGAAATAAAAAAGCTCTGCTATTCAGCTTTTACTAGAGCCCTTTTGTCCAGAGAGCTTCTGGAGGCATTGTAGGGTACCAAGTAACCTCCATGCTACAATCTGTCTTCCAAACTCCAAGCAGGCACCAAGGACCATTTCTGCTCCCATTATCTTTGGTTAGTGAAGTGAGACTATTTGCAGAGTGAGTGTTAAGTGCTTTGTTATTTTTCTTTGCCAGTAGTAGAAGAAAAAGTTCACTTTTTCTTATGGGGATTGGTTTGGATTTGTTTTGTTGAAGGAAGTTGAGAGAACTCCTGCGAGGTTTTTTCCCTTTCTACTCTGGTTGCTGCTC